AATGTATGGGGATTAACATAAGAATAAAAAATAAATAAATAAAAAATAAATAAATGAATTTTCTGTCTTCCTTTTGTAAATAAGTAATCACTAGGTAAAGCCCAAGCATAAATTTTGCTTGCTAATGCCTTAAATAACCAAACCTCTTATGCCTTATGCCTACTGTATTCTCCATGCTTATCTGCAGGAAATATTATGAAAGTAACTTAGGAATGTAGGAGACAGTAAATTGGCTTATATCCACAGAAAATTCAGAGAAAAATTTACATGCACTAGAAAGAAATGTACTAGGATCTAGGATGACAAGTGGAAACCTAATCCACAGAAAATCCCCAGTCTAATATTAGTCAACAGAGTCAGTATATTCTCCCACCAAAACTTTTACCAGAAATGTAAACAAGTTGTAAAATTGATCCATGCAAACTGAATCTCCTTCATATTCTAAGTGATAGCATAAGAAAATGGCTAAAAGATAGGTCCAAAAGATTGATGCTGGGTTTATTTTCAAGTTTGGTCCACTGTAAGAATACCATAAGGATAAGATGAATTGCTTAAGAGTATGATGAATTTGGAAAGACATTTCTACCTTCAGTAGTTTTAAGTGCTTGGTCAAATACCAGTAAGAAGTAGATGGAAATTAACACAACTATTTAACTGCTTGCTTTCATACGAAAAATTCCAAGAAATTAATGTCTGTTGGTTTTTAAGTTTTCATATTCCCAGTCCCCAAAAGACCAAGAAATGAACAACAACCAGAGCTTCTGGTTCCTAGAACACGTTACAGATTCATTCTCATGAGGTAGGTTTGTCTCTATGTTACTAGGCGGAAATCTGGGCACCAAGTAGTTAAGTGAATTTCTCAGAGTCACCCTAGAAATTATTAATAGTAAAACCGAGGAAAAAAACCCCAAGACTTTTTACTGGTCTGTACTGATACCTTTAGTTCAAATTGTTTGTTTTTGTTTTGTTTGTTTTGACTTATCAACTGGCCATTAAGAAGCTGAACCAGAATAAAACCAATACACAGTTATTTGGATCTGTCTCTGGCATTCAGAATGGAATGAGATGTGAGAAGGAAACTAAGACTATTTACAGCTTTGTTACAAATGTCAGCAGTATTAACGTTAGTTAATACAAAGCTGTAATGTCTAGTATTTTTCCTCTGATAACCACGATGGGTATATCTTTTGAACCTGCACTGACCAGCTTAATCCAATACAAAGGTTTGGCACTTCTCCTCTCAACCATTCTTATCCTATCAATCAAAGAAAGGGCCTCTTCTTTAACCATCAGTAAGGATCTCTGAGGATTCCTGCTGCACTTCAAAAAAGTGAAAAATATTACTGGCTTACGCTAGACTTTTAATGGACTTGTAATAACTCTAATACAAAGGGACACATAATCCAAGGTGAAGTTTGCAATAATAATTATTAAAAAGCTGTGTACCAGGATGAAAACTGGAAATATAATCATAAACAGTTCTAAAATGATTCTGATTATTTCCTTTTCAGTTCCCTGAAAAAATTTTAAAAGACTCTAACCAATGTTATAGTTTTGTTATTTCATAAGGAAAGTTCTTACACTTCTACTTCAAAGATAAAGGGGAGTACTTATGATGATCACTTTCTGTGTCAGAGGACAGCTTTGCAACTTGTCAGGCTGATTGAGGTCTCTCTTTTCTTAATTATGAGTGAATCAAGAAATATGCTTAGTTACAAAATATTTGTTATAAACGACATAGCCTGTGACATGAAAGATACACACCCATAACAGATTTTAAAATTCAACCCGCCCCTTACTTTTCCCATGTTTTGGGAAAGCCTATGATGACAGAAGAGCAGTTTTCAGGAAATACCAGAGATTTCTACATGTCTCCAGAGAAAATAGAATCGTGGTGGGTGTTGAAGGACAAAAGATTCTTGGCATTAGTGTTCTCTCTCTCTCTCTTTTTTTTTTTTGCTGTAAGAAGCCATCATCTTAAAAACAAAAAGTCTTGTTTAGAAGTTTCATCAACTAAAAAGTGTTGAGAAGTAAAACAAAGTGCAAAAATCTCAGTTTGATAACCCCATGAACTCAGATTTTAAAACAAATATTTGAGACAACATTAACCAAATCATCCATATTGGTACATTCAAGTGCCATAAAAAGTAAGCTACATGCAAGGTGTCTTTAATACCGAGGTAAAAAATAACAGGTTAGGCATCTGCGTTGTGTTGTGAAAACAAAGCACACTCATATTTACTTCAGGGAAGCCTTAAAAATCAACATGCAAACAGAGGGACACATACTTGTCACAATAGAACGTTAGCTCACAAGGCCATCAATTAAAAACAACTGATTTCAACACAAATGTAAGAATAAACAGGTCTGAAGTCTATCAGGGAAACAATATATCAATATATATTTTAAGCTTGCGATAATGGCTAAATATTGCTTCTAGCAATGTAATTACTCAAGTCATAAAGAAGTAACACAGTATTAATTCAGAGAAGGGTATATTTTTATGTACAGATGTTGAATAAATCTGTATTCTAGGACTTTTAAAGATGGCTACACGTGGTCTGGAAATTCAGCCCTGGCTGGAGGCTGAGGGACACCAGCACGGCACCATTTTCCTTAAACCATCAACATTCTACTTGTGAAAAGTTGGCGTTTAACCTTTGCAGATCCCTCCTATACACCAGGCAGGACAAAGGTGTTTTTCCCTGTACATTTCAGAAGTACACGTAAGAAGGCCACAGAAGTCAAAAGCCCTTTTCCAAAAAAAGGCCTTTGTATATACTGGTTTGATATCTCAAGAAAAGGAGTGGTTATGGATTCATAGATTAAAACGTTATCATTTTAAGGCTTTTGAAAAATTAGCAAGTTGAATTTTTTTTCTTAAACTACAGAGCCCATGCCACACAAATGACTATAGAAGATTAGGAAATATTCCATCAATTGTTTCTACAGAGTATCCTACTTTGCGTGTAACACTGGAGAGGACACGACAGCAGAGAACAATACGAACATGCAGGATAAAAGATTTAAACCTTTTGGGGAAAGTACCAAGTGTCATATGCTTAAATCTGATTTGTCTGAACTTGTTCAATGTCAGGGAGGAAAGCTGACTTGGGCAATCCATTGCTACTCCTTTGTACCCCACAATACACATTCTATAAAGGGTAACATTTTATTGACAGAAAAATGATCACAAAGAGCTCCCCTAGGACAGTGAACTATCAAGATCAGAGGGTATCATACAGGAGATAACACAGTAGAAGTAAATGACAAAAGTTCGATGGTTTTAGTCTTGACATTTCAGATGAGCACCCTGTTTTCCGATCACAGAAAGACCAGCCACCAAACAGCCAACGCAAGAATCACGAGAAAAGACATCAGGAAAGGAATACGAGGAGATGGAAAAGTACTAGAGTAGAGGTGGCACTTTTTGAGAGACTTGTGATCCTCAGGGATTGGAATAGAAACCTTGGGAAGAATTTCTTCATTGTCTTGCTGGGGCAAGTCTCTCTCAGTAGATCTCTCTTGCCTTTTAATTTTCTCTTCATCCTGCACTAACAGAGCACGTTGCTGTGTCTGCTTTCACGGTAGAAGATCAAGAAAGACAGAGAAAGATGAACAAAATGACAGATGGAAAAATGCTCAAAAATGATACTTGGGGATGTGCAAAGGATTTGGGAAGATCTTTTGGGACACTCTTTATTTCACTTTACTTTGGCAATTTATCCCAGCAAAATTTCTATAACACAGTAGAGTATTCAATAGATAATTTTTTGAATGAATGAACATTAGAAGCCCTGAAAGTTCAAGCAATTGCTTGACTTCCTTAGTTACAGTATTTGTTCCTCCTTCAAGGATACTCACATAGGAATTTTGGGTCAGTTTTCCTTGTTTTAGTGCTGTCAATTTTTCTTAGATCACTTGGGCAAAGCCAATAATGAAGCATTCTTCTCGCCATCAGAAAAGTTACTTTTATTATAAATAGAACGGCAGAATATAAAAAGTTATCCTCATATCCCTTCATATAGACTTTAAAAACTGCAACAGTTCATTCAGTATGGCAATTAGCTTTTGCTCAAGGGAATAAAAATTTTAATCCCATACATTTTAAAGATTGCAAAAGAAAAACAAAAGTATAAAAGTTTGTATGTGCCTCCAAGGTCTATCAAAAACAAACGAAAACCCCCCACAAATCTCAACAACTGTAGACTCCCTCCCCCTCTTGCAGAATCATGATTAAAAATAACAACCATCGTGAAGGTTTATACATCACATTAAGCAAAGTACTTTTGACACTTTTAAGGTAAGTTGTCTTTTCCAATTGTCCAACTGAGAAGTTTTTCTCCCCCGCTAATTTCTGTGCTCTGCCATCTAGTCAAGAGATGTTATCTATGAAAGGAAAAACTTGGCTCTAAGTTCTCTCAGTGGGGCCAGCCTTCTCTGGTCAGTTTGGAATTTTGACACAGGTTCTTTGCACACCCCTAAGTGATATGTATCAGGGAAAAAGTAGCTGGGGGACTGGTCAGCAAAAAAGAAAAAAGGAAAAGAAAGGATGCAAAATCATAATGATTTTTAAAAGAATATAAAGAGGGAGAAGAAAGACAACATAAAAAGAACAGGGTACAATTAAATTCATTTTCTCTCTGAATACATACTTACATCTTCATGCAGCTTTTCAACCAGCCATGCGCCGAAATAAGCAAACTGAAAGCTGCAAAAGCTGCAGCAGTGGAAATGTTATGTGTTAGGTCAAAAGGCAGTGGGGTGTGAATTCACTAATAGAGCCAAAAGAAAAAAAATTACTCAGCAGCTGCTGTTCAGTTCTAGGGGGAATATCTGCTTAGTGCCATGACAAGAGCAAATTCGGATTGAGAAGCACAAGTCATAACAGCAGCTTTACCTCTGGCCCACCAACCTTTCTTTCCGAGGGAAGGACAGAGGTTTTCTTCACCTGGTCATACACAAATTATATAAAATTCAGTAGCCTTGCAATGCAACAACAATGCTGCCAAAGACGGAAGAGGTATCCCCAGAGAACAGAAATATTGCCCTAATTATTAAAGAAAAAGTAAGATATGCCAGAAAGTGGAGTTATCCTTTTTTATAAAAGGTTATCATAGGACAGTTCTTCTTATTTATTCTGTTATTCATTTAGAGGAGTAATATACAGACACATAGAGCTAAAGTGGCTCAAGTACTCCCCACCAATCTAATTTATAAAAGTCCTTTCTTTAAAGTCCACAGAATGACATACCCATTTCCAACCAGCCCTGAGATGATTTCTGGAAGGTTTCTATTAAGATACAAGATATTTTCTGGAAATGGAGACTGATTCAAATTTACCAAACTTCATCCAAGAGAGCATTAAGTTACTTTTTCAAAGTAATTGAGCATCTTTTACTACTTCCACAGAGTCGAAAAGAAAACTTCTAGAAAATATGCAGTTATGGTTTACAGAGAGGGTTAACCAGGCAAGATAGCAACAAGGCAACAAGACTTTCTCCTGAAGTCTAGATTTATAGAAAGCAGAGTCACTGTCTCAGTTCAGGCCACATTATCTAGATAAAACTGATGTCCATTTACATCAGGGAATGGAGGCTGAAGAGGACAGTGAATAAAAACAGCTGCATCCTATCACCCCCGGTAACTAGCTACCCATCATTCAAGAATTCTCCAGTCTTACTTGGTGAAACTGGTCTGACTCTACTTGGAGAATTCTTAGCCAATTTCAATCACATTTTGAAAAATATAAAAAGTACCCTTTGTGAGTCAACTTTTATCATCTTCTCCAGTTCCAGAAACTAAACAAAGTTGAATAGTTTACCATGAATTCTGAATATAAAGACAAGTTTTTTTTAAGTTATTAAGACATCAATACCTTTCTTGACTAGAATTGCTATTGCTATTGGTGAAAACCAGGCATATAATTTAAAAAATTATTATCATCACTCATTGAGTCATTGTGACTACTTATATAAATATTAACCTATATAGGCTAAAAATTAAGTAAAGAATTTTTAAATATATGCTTAAGGTAACTTTTAAGGTATCCATCACACAGATTCATTTAATTAGATGTAGGATTTCTACAATAGGTAATGACAACAACATAAAAAAAGCAGCCTCTGAAAGGTATCTCCAACTTCCTCTGTGACTATCTTACAAAACAACATGTTAAAAGTTTGATGCTGCTCATAAAGATGAACCGTCAATAATTTTTCTAAAATTGAAATACAATCATTAATATGTGGTGTTCTGCATTCTCTGGCTCAGAGACCTCCTTGATTTATCACATAATTGTGGTCAACCATTCCAGACATTTCTAAGTTGTACAAATGTTCAAATAAAGTTTTAAAAAAATGTTTATCCTGTTCCAATTTTGACCTTACTAAATTTAGTAAACTCTCTGGTCCTTGGAGGCACAGTTTGAACATAAAGTTCCACTGGCTTATGGTCAATTTGTAAACACACACTAGCCAGAAGGAGGCAGTTCTCAAGAGCCTAGTCATCTAATGGTAGCTCTAAATGGCTCCTGTAATTCGACTGGGTAGCCCATATGACTTAAAAAACAAGTGTTTGATTATGAATACCTTAAAGCTGCAATGAACTAGTGAGGAACCAAAGCTAAATTTCAGCTCTAAACTTACTTATTTTATTCACATACAGAACATTAATATACAATAACATTTATTTCATTCATTCTCACAAGTGGTCACATGGACAAAGTACTCACTCCTTCTCCTGTGGGAAGCTGCCCATTGATGTTAAGTGTTCGGAATGGGGAGTGAGTGGATAAGCGTTTATCCCATTCACTAGGCCGTGGTTCTGGTACAGATTCCATGAAGTTCTTTTTCAGCTCACTGATGCTGGCATGATGTTTTTTTATCTCTTCTTGACTTTTGTCTAAATCCTGTAGTTGAAAGGACAAAGATGCAAAATTATGAATACTCAGAGGAAAAAAACACATCACGGGAAGCCCACCAGACTATGGGCACTGGTAGAAAACACCACATCCAGGGCAGATGTTACTAATCCATAAATTGCATTTAAATTTTAAATATACAACATGGTATATTTGCTTGCCTTTCTTTTTTTTTTTTTTTTTAATGAGGTGCTTTTCTTGGAAGCAGTGAAGCATCATAACCCTACAGCTCTTAGCAGTTCTGTAACCCACAGACCTCACTCCTTAATTTTGCAACTTTTCTTCGCATTAGGATGCAGTGCTAGATCTCCAACTCCTCATCCCAAGAGGGTAACCTCACAGCTCAATTAGCGTTGGCTTGATATGAACTGATTGAGGCTCAGCTCAGGCAGGATGGAGACAGCAATAGATAAGGAGCAACTATTAAACAAAGGACATGATAAAAGATGCAACTGCCACCAAAGCTGCTTTGCTTTGGTGAGTTGCAATCACACAGCATCCCTCTATTTCTACCTAGAGATAGTTTTGCTTCCTTATTACTAGGTGGATATTACTGGTTTTGATAAACAGGAATAGCCCTTTCTTGTCATAAGAATTTATTACTAGAATTTCTGGCTCAAGCCTTGAGAGCAAATTGTTACCACCTATGAAAAATCACTCAGGTATGTAATATAATGGCTTTTTTTCTTTACCAATACTATTCATGCAAACTAAAAGACTTATGCCTTCCAGGACGCCTGGGTGGCTCAGTCGGTTGAGCGTCTGCCTTCAGCTCAGGTCATGATCCCAGGGTCCTGAGATCGATCCCTGAATCCAGCTCCCTGCTCAGTAGGGGTCTGCTTCTCCCTCTCCCTCTGTGTTCTCTCTCAAGTAAATAAAATCTTAAAAAAAAAAAAAAAGCCTTATGCCTTCCAGCTACTGACAGCTTTACTTCATCCCTTAGTAGAATTCAAAATAGGGACCTTCTTCCAGTAACTTTCAATGGACTGGAAGTAATTTAACAAGAATTCATCAGATACCTTATATATCTTCTCGACAATTTAAAATATCTCAACTGTTCCAGCATATTTGGATACTGGACAACTAGGTTTAATATCCCTTAAATGGGATATTCCAGGGAGAAAGGATCAAAACTTAGGTTAATAAAGCTAGAAATAACATTCAGGTTTATTTAACAGGAGGCATATAAAACTTTTAAAAGGTAGACTTGACCAGAAATAAAATGGGAAATACAATTTAAAGACAAAAACTGAAATGTTCTTTGTCCAACATACTTCTCCAAAAAAGCTCAGAAGATCTATGCTTGAGATCAAAATATGTGGGAACCTGTCACTTGATGAATGCTAAAAATTCTGTGTTTATTATATATCACGGCAGCTCTGTATCCAAGAAAAGCATAATATTAAATATATCTTTTAAAATGCTGTGTAAATTTTGAGATTAGCCTTTCTTTCTTTCTTTCTTTTTCTCTCTTTCTTTCTTTCTTTCTCTTTCTTTCTCTGTGGGAAACCACCACATTTTGGGGAAAAAAACAAACTCATTTAAATGAAAATTTGTTTGAAAAATTTTTCTGGAGCAACGTATGCTTCAACTAAATAAAATTTTTTTCAAAAGGAATGTCAAAGGGAAAATAGCATAGGAAAAAGAATTGGTGAGGCTCATGACATAATTTTGATTCTGGAGATATTCATTCAGAAAATTCACTTACTAGTCCATTCTTCTTATTTTTGCAAGACTAAACCATGTATATTTGCTTTGAGATCAAAGAGAAAACTAACCCAAAAAGGGCAATCCTGTAGCTTCCCCATAAAATTACCTCTTGCTTGTTGGGATGAAATGTGAGTATAGCCCATGAATATGGGCTTCACCATGAGGAAACAACAGTGTGCACTTTTATTCTAGCTGAAAGCAAGAAAAGCATGTTTACTAGCTAAAGAAAAGCATGAACAAGCTTGGTCAAAGACTCAGTAGTAGGCTAAGCAACTGAGACCCATAAGGCATGTAAGGCTCTGTGACCCAGCTCCTAACTGGAAATTAAATCTGCTTGGTCCAAGAACAACTTAACACATTTGGGAGAGTTACAAGTATGAATGGAGCAAAACAAAAATGAGCAAGAGATGCTATGGTAAAACCATAACTCTCTGGGTTAGCCTCTTAATATGAGAGTGGTGATTTGTTACTCTTCTTGCCTAGCTTTTGATTGGCTTGGAACCTGAGAAAAATAAATGTTTCAATAAAATCAGTAGCTTCTGAAGGAGCTTTCTCCATCCTTCTTAGCTGGCTCTGTTAGAAACCTGTGGGGGCACAGAGTAAAATTAAGATCTCAAAGGGACCTGTTCCAAATAGAATTTGTCATAGACACTTGCTACAGGTTCTCTCTGGGAGATGGAGGAGGAGGCGGTACATCTAAAAATGAACTCAACCTTATTTGGCCAGAACAAAGCATTAGTGGGGGTGGGGTAGGAGAGATGCTTTAAAAAAACAAAACAAAACAAAAAACTCTACTAGAGTGACAGATAACTTGAGAGAACATCCTTATGGGGCGGGGGAGGGGGTGGAAGGGAGACAAATTTTTTTTTTTACTGTAACTAGAGAATGATGGTTAGCCAAATTACTGCGGCTGTTTTTAGGCTAGATACTTTTTGATACTTATCATCTTATAATTTTAGCAGCAGCCAAACCAAACCATTAAATATAAAATGTTCTCAAAAAGTAGTTAGTAGTTTTAATTTTCAAACACACACTTATTAAGAAATCCCCTCTTGTGGCTATCAATGCAATGCTGGGGAAAAAACACATCACACACAGGGACTCTGTGAGTCTCAGAAGCTATAACACACCTCATTGAACAAATGACAAATATATGATTGGGACTGCAGGTTCCAGTCAAAAGGAAGCACTAAAGGGGCGCTTGGGTGGCTCAGTCGTTGAGCATCTGCCTTTGGCTCGGGTCATGATCCCAGGGTCCTGGGATCGAGCCCCGTATCGGGCTCCCTGCTCAGTGGGAAGCCTGCTTCTCCCTCTACCACTCCCCCCACTTGTGTTCCCTCTCTCGCTGTGTCTCACTCTGTCAAATAAATAAATAATATCTTAAAAAAAAAAAAAAAGAACAAAAGGAAGCACTAAAAATGGACTAGTAAAGCAAAAGGCATGTTTGGGATTGGGAGATGTTACACTGCCAAGTACATCAACTGACCTCTGTAATTCTTCCTAATCCCAGAAGCAGAACCATTCACGTCTAGTTTTAGTTATGAGCTCAAGCAGAGATCTAGTTGCTGAGTTTGAAATGTCCTAGAGTCCAGCCTTAAAAAACCTCATGTTACATGAGGTAAGTGTACATAAAGCATTTAGTATTGTGCCCATCGTACAGTACGTGATTAATGAAGGCTGGCCATAATTTTTATTACTTTTATTAAAGTACCTTAACATAGCAAGCACTCAAAATACATGTTTTGACAAAAAATAAGACATGGTTAAATAACTATTAGAGGCCATTACATTAAACCAGAGTTCTATCTAAAAAAGTTTCTTCAGATATCCAGTTTAATAATATTTAGCACATTTCTTATATGTTCATCTTTCAGGTCTCAGCTAATATGTTATCTCTCCAGAGAGAACTTCCCTGTCCATCTTATTCAGAGTAGATTTCCTTTCTTAGCACAGCATACTGCTTATTTCCTTCATAGCTTCTATAATAACTTGAAGTAATTTTATCGCTATTTTTTTTAACTGTTTACTGTCTCTCTCCTCCCTACTTCTATACATTGTTAAGTTTCCTGAAGGCAGGAACAATGTTTATCATCTTCCTCTGTATTTGTATTTATATGTCCTTCAAATTTAAGTTAAAATCCCCAGTATCAGAGTTATAGTCATTTCTTTTGGCTCTGTCTTGAGCAAAATCATAAGATAATCTGGTCAACTTTTATATAAGAGTCTTAGTGAGTTATAAACTAATGTAGCTTCAGTGTTTTCCACATAGATAACTCCATGTTCTTTATTTTTTCCTCATAGAGTTCCCCTACTCTTCTAATTAGCTTCATATTTCCCTATCCAGTGTGGAGCCCCAAACTAGATAAGTATACTAATATAACTCTGGTAGAAAGCAAATTATTGTTGAATGTAATGAGAAAATGACCTTACAATTCCTATAATAGACAGTATGTTGCTATTTCTGAATGGAAAAAGTGTAGTTTAATAAAGATAGATAGATAGACCCTAACTCAAATCCTAGCTTTACCAATTTACTGGCTTTGTGACCACAGACAAATTAAATTTCTCTAAGGTCAATTTTCTTATCTTTAAAATAATAATCTTATGGCCACAGATCTGTTTTTGTAATTAAACTATCTTATATCCTATTAACTATGGATTAAATACCAGGTCCCTTCTTTCCTTCCTGTATCTTTTTTCTTTCCTGACTGTCCTGTCATTTTTTGGTATTCCCCAATTTTTAACTCCATTTTGAATTGTGATCATTTCTCCTACTTTTCCACACTCTCTCAGTTCAGAAGATGAAAAATACAGTATGAATTTGATGCTTGAGACATATAGGAGTTTATACTCTTGGAAAGTTCAAGGAATTTTTGACAGTGATGTAGAATTTTCTACAAGTGGGTAAAACAATGGAACCGTGAGAAGCAGGGATAGTCCCAATCATATATTTTTTAGGTAAGTATGACAGATGGAAACTAAAAAGAGTCAGAAGGAGAGATGGTTGCATATCTTCATGTTTACCAACATGCAAAAGCATTTTAAACCTAAAATTCTTTCATGCAATGGCATGCAAAACCAAACGCAGAGTAAAGAAAGGGATGATTGCAAAGAATGCAGAAGGTTATAGGCAACCAACTAAAATAAGCTTCAAGTTCATACAAACCTCCAACATTAAATTGCTATGTCTGATATAAATGTTTTCACCATCTAGTCTCTCTCTCTTTTTCTGTGAAAATGAAAGAGGGAAAAACAGAAAAGCATAAAAAATTAAAATGTTGTTCTTGCGGGAAAAAACTGCAAATTGGCAAACCAAAAAAATTAAATGTCCACAGCGCAGCATATGCCAACATGAAATGGTCACAAAACTACAAGGACACACAGAACACATTACCACTAGAAAACAGATGACCCTATTCATGAATGATGGAAGAAAATGATGACCTTATTTAAATAGACAGTGCTCCTGGCTTCATTGGCTTCTTACATAATAAGTTGTTTTATGCTCATTCTTGAAATCGAACTGTTTGAGGGTTATCTTAAAATATGTGACTTAAAGAAGCTTTGAAATTCCATGTTCCATGGCATGGAGAAATGCTTTAAAACATTATTTACCCTTTTGAGGTATATTTCATACTTAGTAAATACCACAGTACGTATATCTCTAATACTTTTCATAAGAAAGATCTAAGGGCACTTAATACATGATTAGTCAATATTCTCTTCAGTAAGAACTGATACATCCCACTCTATAGTTGGGAAGAATGGGCGCAGAGCAGCAAAACACACAGTTATTAACAAAACCAGGAGTTGCTGCTATGATGGTTTCCATAGTAAGTATGTATCAAATATTGTCCATGATTCCAAAAATATGGTGCCACTGAAATATTTCTTATAAAGTTTAAACATGAAGGGTAGGTTTGGTCTTCACTAGTTATTTCATTGTGTTTGAAAAGATATTTTCCTCCTGGGAATTTCAACAAATAGTATAGGATTATAATTTCTTTGGTATACATATGTATGTGAGCGTATGCAAATATATATATGCGCAAATATATATCTGCGATTTGAAAGTAATTTCTTATGAAGAGAAATCAATGAAAAGAATGGATCACTGTCTTTTTAGCACACTGTAGAAGTCAGCATGGGTGATGGTAATGCAGTTTTGTGAAAGTGAAAAATGGCTGACCTTCCTCATTCTTATCAGATCTTCAGTTTTTTCTGCAAGCTGCCATTATTAAAAAAAAGAAAAAGAAAAATGATAAAATATTGGCTCATTGAAGTTTGTTTGAACCTTTATAGTATTTTTTAAGGGAAGGGAGTTGGGGAGAAGAAAAAAATTGAGGAGGGAGGAGAAAAGGAACAAGCGGTCTGTTGGCACAAACCTGTGTTTGGTCACCATTTGAGGTGGGTACTGTGACCTCGATGTGGGTTTTTTCCACCTATATTTAAAAAATAAAGTGGTAAAAACATTTTAGATTAGTAGGTTTCTATGAGAAGCATTATTTCCAAATAAGCTGCATCTTTAAGCTGGTTGTGTAATCAACATGATGCAGTCTTATGGGGGTGTGGCAGGAAAGGACATTACTCTCAACGGTCATCTGTTAGTTCGCCATCATATTTTCAAGGCTGAAGAGGTAATATGGACAGCCACATGATCATAAGAGAAAATTAAGATAATTATTCCACCGATGAAGCAAACATTTTTACACTTAATTAACAAAAAAGTACTTAAACAAAAAATAATTTGGGCTTAAATAAGGCATGTGTTTTTGTTTTGGCTTTTTTTTATGATCTAGAAGTTCTTTAACATTTAAAAACAAATTTTCAAATGAAGATATCAAGGTAGGACATACATGACAAAAAGAAAATCTTTACAGTTAAAGCACACATATAATAAACCACATATGACACAAAGCAGGTAAATACAAAAAAAAATTGTTAGTTGATCAATGTATTTAAGGAGGCAGTTTCATCCTTGAGTTTATTAGACAACAAAACATCAAAATAAACTCAATCCAAATTGTTACTGATGCATGCAATTACTTCCGAGGCTGATTTATAAATAAGCACACATAGGGCTCAGCTGCAATATTCAGCACTCTGTCATCTCCTCTCCAGGGAGCTGGAGCCCATGTGTTTGGTGGATGAACAAGATTCATCCTTAACAGTAGGAAGAGAATAACTAAGGCCTCCTGCCTAGCTTTGAAATACCTTTAGTAATAGTCATTTTATACATCCAAAATGGAGTAAGTATAAATTTAAGAAACCCAGACAGACTATTAAGAGGAGGCATTTTAGAGTGAGCAATGCCTAAACAGCAGGTATTTCAAAATTAGAAAACTTTTCATTAAGGATCAAGTCAATCACTTCCTATCATTAACTTCTTTATAGAACCCCACCAATCTGTGGTTTTGACACATTCTTTTTAATCACACTTGGCGGCATTACCTTGGAGTATAATGTCATTGTGCTATTTTCCCTAGGACAGAAGTAGAGAACATAACACCAAACTTTGTGATACTGTCAAATAAATCATAAGCACATCGAGCTACAGTACTTTTAACTACCAGGATAACTGACAATTTGGGTCATTTCTATTATGAATCCCATTATATTTGCTGTATGGTCATTAGCAAGTTATTTCCCCTAAGTTTTTTACTGATAAAGTGGAGATAATATATCCATAGAGTTGGGAATGTTTAGCAAATGGTAGTTTTAAATTATTTTGTAAAGCTTACATTAGTTATTTCAGTGAATAATGACCTGCTTTTTTCTAACAGCAAGAAATTGAGAGCCTCTACTTCAGTCTAAGAGTGGAGGTCAAGTAGCAAGGTGGTTGTGCCCCTTCGAGAATATTAAATAAGAACATAGGGGCAAGGTACTATTCCACACCCACAAAATAGGTCTTGTCAAATGACTCAAGATGCAAAAAGCTACCTCTATCTGGCACCAAATTCATGTTAGATAATGAAATTTATACAGTGTTACAAGGTTATTTTATTACTACTATTGCTTTACATAATAACGATGGCTTCGGGTAAATTCCATAATTATTTTCTATTGCTACAAATAAAATCAACTCAGAGTCACCCTTAATTCTGTCACTACTATTATAGTAATAGAAGGTTATCAGAGGTGATTTTCAGTCTGATCTCTACACAAGTATCTCAAAACATATATGTACACAGAATTAATCAGCAAGAAAACCACCTACTGGCACTTAAATGAGCATATACCAGGAAGTGATCTCTCCCCTCTGTCAAGGTCCCAAGAGCAACAGGAACCTATTCTTGAAGATACCTCTGTCTGACCTATAGGCTAAAGAACAAGTATGGGGGCACCTGGGTGGCTCAGTTGGTTAAGCATCTGCCTTCAGCTCAGGTCATGATCCCAGGGTCCTGGGATTGAGCCCCACGTTGGGCTCCCTGCTCAACAGGGAGCCTGCTTCTCCCTCTCCCTCTGCCCCCCAGTCATGCTTGCTCTCTCTCTCTCAAATAAATAAATAAAATCTTTTAAAAAAAAAGAACAAGTATGTTAGCAGAACACCAAAGGAATCTTAGCCACTCAAAAAGATTCCTTTGCCAACTCCAGTAATCCAACATTTCCCATTTAGCACAACAAATGGAGGGATAGTCAAAAGTGCCAGATGAGATATTCTAACATTAAAAAACTAAGGTAGTCTAACCTTAAAAAGGCACTGTTAATACTGAACCTGATGGTCAATTTCATACACATCTGGCTAGGTTAAAAAAAATACAAATATCCACCATTTGCTCAATTTTTTCTCTCTTTGGATTCAAGTTGGTCTCAAAGGACAGTAAAAACGGCATGTCATGTTCAACAGTTTTGGTTTTTTGGGTTTTTTTTTTTTAAATACAGTCAAAACGAAGCCAAATTGGCCACTGCTCTACAGATGTTAACTAGATACTGAACCGGGTCCAAAAGAACAGGATTAATCCATCTGCCAAGATGAGAGCATTTACTAAGGTCTTACATGGTTTAAAAAAAAATTTTTTTTTGTTGTTTTAAATTTCTTTTTTCTTTTGGGTTTTTTTTTTTTTTTTTTTTTTTTTTTTTTTTTTTTTTTTTTTTTTTTTTAAGATTTTATTTATTTGTGAGAGAGAGAATGAGAGACAGAGAACATGAGAGGGAGGAGGGTCAGAGGGAGAAGCAGACTCCCTGCTGAGCAGGGAGCCTGATGTGGGACTCGATCCCGGGACTCCAGGATCATGACCTGAGCCGAAGGCAGTCGCTTAACCAACTGAGCCACCCAGGCGCCCTGTTTTAAATTTCTTAACAGACATATAAAAATGTAATTTTTCTTTTAAAAACTGTCTCTATTAATTCCTGTTGTCAACAGTGATACTTGTATTTATGTCATTAAATCTGAACATCTCAACTCCATCACTGCTTAAATGTGTTTCAAAAGCTTATCAACACATAAAAGATCAGTCCAGTTACTGTTAGTACTGGGAAATCTGCTAATTGGTGATTTTTTTTTTTTTAAAGATTTTATTTATTTATTTGAGAGAGAGAATGAGATAGAGAGAGCATGAGAGGGTCAGAGGGAGAAGCAGACCAGGGAGCCCGATGTGGGACTCGAACCCGGGACTCCAGGATCATGACCTGAGCCGAAGGCAGTCGCTTAACCAACTGAGCCACCCAGGCGCCCTAATTGGTGATTTTTCAACAAGGTCAGTGACTGTGGGTACAATCAACTCAGAACTGTAAGCAACTCAGTGGCATAATCGCCCCTACATAAGGATCTTCACCTCTTTGTAAACAATTTGATTTGAACAACCACATAGATGTGCTTTATGTAATACTAACTGGGATATTCTCTAGGTATGTTGCACATATACTCATCTTAGGAAATCAAATTATATTTTAATTCTATTAGCAGAACTTACTCTTAAAAAGGAATGTGGAGATTCCTTCTGGTTGAACAAAAATTATTTTTAAGAGCAGATGATCACAGTGTTAAAAACTCTTTTCTTTTAGATATAAGTTAGATAACAGTGTAGGTAGGTCACCTGAAAACTCAGATGGCTTAGTCTTCATGACATAATTCTATGAAAATATTTTACAGGTTCATGGGGAATACTTTCTTTTAGAAAGAGTAAAGAAGAAATAACTTTGTTAGAATTCTACAAGAATCAATGCTTTGAAAACCTTCCTGGCCAAGGAGTTAACATGTCTAAATCAGAAAGCATTAACTGAATTTAAATAAAAAATTTTTTTAAAAATCAGAAAGTGAACTAGCCAGATATCTGGACTTACGGCATACCTTCCACACTTCTGTGGGCTCTGGCTCAGCTTGCTCGGGCGGCACTTCTTCCTTTTGCTCTTCAACCTTCACTGTTTCCTTCTGTGCTTTAGAAACCTCTGTGTCCTCACTCTGAGCAATGGCTGGTGCAGAAGTGGGCCGGGGACTTCGGTCTGAATCAACAGCTGCTGCTACATAAGAAAGGGAAAAGGAAAGATAAGTGAAGGCAAGAGTCACAATACTACTTCAGAGTCACCAGGTAAAATAATTGTGAATCCAGGACACAGTATCCAGCAGGCTATCATACAGAAAGTAAAGAATAAATCATTAGTGCTCTGCCAGGTAACTGATGGCATTAAAAAAGCTAAAACAGAAAAGCTAAACTATGCTATCATGTTCCATAAGGGGGCGGAGGGGATCAAAATAAGAAAAGAAATTAAAAACTCTTTTTATTAAAAAGTTAGCAAGACTGTTTAACCTTGTACTCTGTTAGTTTTAAGAACCTGCAATGTAGTCTATGGAGAAAAAAAAAGAGGTTAATTAAGTCTGACTTCTTTCATGAAGCCATATTGACACACAGATCCATTTATATATAGGTGATTTTAGGAACCTAAAAAATATGTTCTAGGAAAAACAGATCAAGTCTGATTTCTTCCATGAAGCCTGCTTGGAATGATTACAAAATAACTTGATAAACTGATCTTGTAAGATATGCACACTTTTTGATGCTTAAAGGCAAACTTTTGAACCAGATACTTGCCCTTTTAACAAGTCATTTGATTAAAATAATATGAATTCAAAACCTTTGGCCTTTAGTCCTTAAAAAAAAACCAAAACTTTTTTGAGTTCTCTCCTACCTTCTCTCAGAATCTTATAATTTGTATTACAGTCCCTCTTCTCTAACATACCTAGGGCAGTGGTTCTCAACCAGGAGTGATTTTGTCCCTCAGACAATATTTGGGAATGTCTGGAGACGTTTTTGATTGCTACAACAGGGGAGAGAAGTAGGAGGGGGTACTGGCCAAGGTTGCTGAGATTAAGAAACCTTGACTTAGGGAAAAGGCTGTATATAGACTGTTCTAGAGACAATATGCAATATAGGCTTATGACAAAAGCTTGATCTTTTCAGAGTTAATAATTCACATATACATACTTTATAGTAACCTCACTTATCTGGCAGTGTCTGGGAATGCAGTGTGTCTCCACATGATTTGTTTATTTATTTTTAAGTAGGATCCACGCCCAGCATGGAGCCCAACTCAGGGCTTGAACTCATGACCCTATACTGAATTTTTTTTAAAAAGATTTTATTTATTCTTTCTTTCTTTCTTTTTTTGAGAGAACATGCCCGAGTCGGGGGAGGGGCAGAGGGAGAGAGAGAGAGAGAGAATCTTAAGCAGGCGCCATGCCCAGCCCAAAGCCACGCTCTATCTCACAACCCTGAGATCATAACCTAAACTGAAATCAAGAGTCTGACGCTTAACTGACTGAACCACTGAGGCAATTCTGAATTAGTAGTAAATATTAGCTAAAACAAAGGAATTCCATGAATCAGAACAGATAAAAAATTGGAATTCACAACTACTTCGTACATACAACTCCAAGAAAAAAATGCTTGTTACCCAGTAATAATCTCCAGTGAAAGAAATCATTCCTCAAAGGATACACAGGAAAAACAGGAGAAACACAGGAATCATCTATCTTCCAGTGAAAATTCTGTGGCCTCTTGCAAGTCCTTGCTTCTCATGGGTGCTCTAAGCTACTCAATGCAAGAATGGCAGATGGCAGACCAAATCTAACAACACAGGGGAATGTGACAAAATATTTTGCTCACAGTTGTGTTAAACTATCATTATACATGTGTATTCACACCTCCTCTCAAAGAATTAATTCAACTCTGCCTGGCATCATAGAAACATAGCCCATGCTTTCACCATGTGTTATTTTGCCACTTGCATTTGGTTTTAATCCAATACTAATACTGCAGAGCCAAATGATTTATGTATTCCTAGCCCTGGCAATCTGTACTGTCTGTGGAAAAGTAGGTATAGGGCGCCTGGGTGGCTCAGTCGTTAAGCGTCTGCCTTCGGCTCAGGTCATGATCCCAGGGTCCTGGGATCGAGTCCCGCATCGGGCTCCCTG